ACGGCGGGGAAAATGGCCGCGGATCCTGTTCGTCACCCGATGCGGAGTTTGCAAACGGAAGCAAAATTTTGCAAACGGTGCTGTTCGTGAACCGAATTGTTCGTGAACAGAAGTGTTCGTGACCTGAGGTACCACTGTATATGCATATCTGAGTTCCTCAGCAATAGGGTCCACTCAAATATGAATTTAGAATGGAATCAGCTTATGAACTTTTTGCCATAACCTTGGGTAGATTTTGGAAGACACAATGAACAAGTTTACCTGCAATTGTCTCACACTGATTCGCAAGTCTGATTCATTAAATCCATATGGAATGTTCCATCCCAGAGGTCCAAATTTCTTCCTCTCCTGTACCAGGGCATGAAAAAAGCAAACTCCAAACAGCAGTTTCTCCCATCTCTTTTAGGGGGAAAAAACACTCAGTTAACCCAAATGGAAATAAGACGAGGCAGCACACGGCAATAAAATTCTGCATATGGAAAACTTGTGGCTTATAACAGCATAGAAAATTAGTTTTGGCTATACAATGACATCTTTCACTATTTTGCATAAGATGATTTTCCCAGCAGTACATTTTATTCAGGGCCCAAATTTTATATTATTCTGCACGCTTCCAGAGGCTTTTGTAACCACTTGCCTAATTGCTCCACAGCTATGCTACCCACATAGAGCACTTATTTTAAGGCATTGATTGGGTGTGAGAATCTGCTTTATTGTGCACGGATGGGGAACTGCCTTAGCTTCTTTGAAGTAACTGTGAAATAATAACAGATTTACCATTTTTTAGGATTATGGAACTGATGGACACAAAAGCTTGAAATTATAGCAAAGGGAAAAGATACCATGACAGGGAGATATCAGCAAGTATGTGGAGCAGAGATTTTATAAAAAGGCTAGAGAATAGGAACCTTATACATAAATTCTTATGTAGAGGCCCATGTTTTAAGGCTACACTTTAAAATTTAGCAAGCAAAACTGTGTAATTTTGCTAATTAATTATCAAGAAGAAAGTTACCTGCTCCTTTCTAGGACACCCAGCAAAAAAGTCTGGATCAGAAACAGGATCAGAGAGGAAAGACTGAAGCAAATTCAGCCGAAGACCTGTAGGAGGTTCATTCGTCATCTTCACACCGTTCTGAAGGATGGTGACTGGAAACTAGACAAAGCAAGCATGGTAATTTCATTAACAGTTCTATTCTTATTCATTCTTTTTATCTAATTATTCAGCACACACTATCATTTTCAAATATTGTGCCTAATATTTTTTGCATCTATACATCAATCAATCAATCAATCAATCAAATCATGAGGTTCAATAGTCTGTTTTCTCCTGATTTTTATTTTCATATATAATTTATTTACTGCCCTTCAGTACAAAGATAGCTATTTTACATTGTGTATGGCATCAATATATTAATCTTGAGGATTAGGTTTATAACAGAATATCAGTGTTAATTGACTCAGGGATGCTAGACAACAAATCCCATAAACAGAATAATTCTAATACATTTCCTCAATCTTAGAGCAGTGCAGAATATATAGCAAAAGTCATCTTCAGAGCTCCTGTAGCCAAATTATTTAGGGCTTTAAAGATCAGAAGCAGCATTTGACCTGAATTAACTAGTGCACTTCTCTAAAGGATTTATATTATAGAGTACATCCTGTGTGTGCCAATGCACCACATGTACTTCCTGGTTGGTGGGACATGGGTAGTGTATGTTGGATTACAAGGTAATCACTACATTAGAGATTCTAGCTTGTACAGAATAGCATTAGCATGCTTCGGGTAAAATAGGGCTTCGATTGTGCTTGTATTCTAATGACCAACGTGTACCAAAACTAACCAGCACTGTCTGGACAATTAGCAGGAAAAGCTACATATGGCATGGATAAAACTAAGGCAGATAATCGCATCTGCTCTAACTAAACTATAAATTAACCACTCATAATACAAAGTAAATACTTTGCAAAGTATTTATAAAGCTGAAAAAATGCAAAAGAAATCTCAGATCATCAAAAGGCCCATGACCTTTATAGGGCAGGAGTTCTTTGTGAATACATGACTGGAAACAAACAAACAAGCAAACAATCATAAGGAAGCTGAATAAAAATCAGAAGCAAAATGTTGACTTAGCATATTAATTACAACAGTGAATTAGAGTGCATTAAAGAACAATCAAGAGAAAGAAATATTTCCTTTTTACAAATAGAATAGCTGAGAAATGTAAGAAAATGGCTGATTATCTAAAGATGTAGGACATTGCATTTATTATAAAATACACAATTTCTCATAAGTAGTCAAGTACATTTCACATTCAAAATACCTTGGGTGATGGATAACTAGTCAGCCAGAGCCTGAAAGAGGAATGGCAAGTATCACTGTTGAACTCTTCACAGATTTTCTCCAGCATTGGCATCCAGGAAACAGCAAGATGGCAGTTTTGTAAACAGACCCAGGTCCCTTCCTCCATTCCTTCTCTAATCATTTTTGTTGCTATTGGTCCTTGCCCTTGTCCCAAAGAGATGGACTGAAATTTATTTCCAACCATATTTTTATCATTTGCAAATTTTAAAAGACCTGGTGTGAAAATAGTAATACATTAATAATTGCTGTCCTGAAGATAATTATAAAGCACAAATCTAAAACTATTTGTAAGTCATGCCTTTTAATTTACCAAGGCATTACATTCAAAATCAGATTTGGTAAATGTCTACATTTCATTTGTAGGTGTGAGGTGGCAAATGCATGGATTAATATGGGGCAATTTACATACTCCAAGATATAAATAACAGCATGAGTTCATCATCTGAAAATACATTTAATGTGGATGTTTACACAGTCAAAAAATATTCTTAAATTATTAGGTTATGTCCTAGTGCTACCTCTGCCCATAATATCTGAAACTAAAAGCTCTGAGGCTATGCCACATTCTAATCTCTTCAGCTCATGAAGAGATAATAGTGAATAGTGACAATTACAAAAAAATATTTATTTATTTAATTATTTATGCATGCATGCCACCTTATCAGACAACTCCAGGTGGCCTACAAGAAAATACACAACATAAAACAAAAACATAGAGGTGTCATGAATCTGTACAATAAATACAATAGCATCTCTGATCATTCAGCCCACAGATCTCCTAAGTACTACCAGTCTACACTACTTTCTAAAAGCTGTTTGGAAAAGCACTGTTTTTATCACTTTTCAAGAAGACAATAATGAAAAAGCCATCCTAACCTCTGAGAGTAAGCTGTTCCAGAATGAGGGGGTTACAACCAAGAAACCCTGCTTTTGGATTCCCACCACTTTAACATCTTGTGGGGAGAATCTGCAGCATTTCTCCTTGACCTGCAGATTCGACCTGAAGCAGGCAGTCCCAAAGATGTAGAATACCAAAGTCATAAAGAGCTTTATAGTTGGCAACTAGCATCTTGAACTGAACCCAGAAACCTACTGGTAGCCAATGTAACTCATGCAAGTTGAGTGTTATTCTGCTGTACCAGCCTCTACTGGGCTGTAGGTGAGCAGCTGCACTCTGCACCCGTTGTAGTTTCAAACTATCTTTAAGGACAGCCAAATGTAGAACAAATTGCAGTAATCCAAATGGGAGGTGATAAAGGCTTGAGTTACTGTTGCTAAGATTAGTTACTGTTGCTAAAAGCCTTCTTGGCCATAGCTTCTCTCTGCTGCTCCAGCAGGAGCTGCAAGCCCAGGAAGAGCCCACAACTGCATATCTGCTCTTTCCATGGTATCTAAACCAAAGATGGAACTACCCAGGAATCAGAGGGTTTTGGCAGAAATAGCAATGCTGTATTGCTGGGATTCAATCTAACCTGTTCCATTCTATCCAGATCCTCACAGCTGCTATGTACTGGGTCACAACTTCCACTGCATCCCTTATTTTGGCCCAGGGTAGAGATGTATAATCAGATATCAAAATGCATCTAAAAGAAGTTGCTGTGGCCAGAACAAATTATTCCCACATACCATCTTCCAAAAGGCAACCTGAAAGAAGGCTGCCAGACAGCAGGCTGTGGGCACAATCACGGCAAAGTATTGACACTTTGCCACCCTTACTACCCCCATGTAGAACCAAACCTGAGGTCTTTTTCTTCTACCATGCTTACTCCAGGAGACTTTTCCAACTTTTCATCTTAGATCTCCTGAATAAACTAAGGAGTTCCCAGGTCTAAGGTACACAGAGAGACTGCCCAATAGCAATCCTGTTCAAGAGCCCTTCAAATCTCAAAATTTTAGAGCTTGACCATATGCCCAACAAAACATCCTGTCAGATTGCTGGGAAACTCCCCAAGTGCCAGCTGGAAATCTATCAGACCTATTAGATACCTGGGGGTAGGCATCTTAATATGTGTGCTCCCCCCCTCTCCCCAGTGCTCTGGGCCCATGATAACTTGGGACTATAGCATCGTCATTAAAATCTCAAGCAACTCCCAACACTCCTTTTCAAGGAGTGATGACTGAAATCTGCCAGCATGTAAAGCCAAGGGGAATCCACCATCAGTCTGGCAATGATGTCAAGCTGCTAGGCAGGAGGATGGATGATTCAGCAGCAGGACTCCCAGTTTTACATCTGGTGCCCAACTTAACATATATGTCCTGACAACCATCTACTTGCAAAACAGGACATCTGTTCATCATCAAGGGCTTCTAGAGGATTACTGCCTACCTCCTTTCTTGCCATGGCTAATGCATCAGCAATACAGATTTAAATTATGTTTTGTATTGACTATTGATCTTAGAAGATTCACAAACACAGCAAACAGGACAGCAAAATGAAGTACATTTGTCTCCCCAGCTCTTAATTCTCCCATTCTTAGGAAGGTTTTGAAAATGTATTTTCTTTTTATCTTTTCATTGTTTCTATTAACATAAAACACAAACTCAGTTTTGTGAACAACGAACAAGAGATTGTATTACAAAATGCTATTTTTGAAAGTTATTCAGAAACTTAATGAAAAAGAAACCAAACTAATAGAAGTTTTTGTAAACAAAAAAGAAAAACCAAGTATAATGAGTGAACTTACTGGCCATAGGATCTGCTCCAGGAGACAGCACAAAGATTAAAGGGATTGAAGAATTTGAATCTAAGTAACTTTTTGTTAGATCAAAAGGAGGTGGCTCAACAAATTTCTTTCCAAGTTTATCAGTCACAAAGGTTGTTATAGCTGGTGTAATCTGTTTTAAAATAAATTGTGAGCATAATATAGGATTTTGTTGTAAGATACACAACTTTTATTTCAAGGCAGCTCAACTGGTAAATATTCAATTATTCAAAGAAATCTAAATCCTGTGGCAAACAGTTACAGCAATCCAAAAGACTTACATGTTGGCAGTTTGTTTTTTCTACACATTTTAGGAATGTATTTTTAATTGTTATTTTATAAGCAGGAATAGTATTTTCGACTTAAAATCAAATGTGATTTAAACAGCCTTGAATTAAAAAGTCAAAAAACAAAACCCAGAAAATTTTTCTTCAATGTATAGTGCATGGAATGTTAGAAGGAAACAGGTGTGCTAATAAATTTGCTAACTCTTGATTCTTTAGAAATATATAGTTGATTTCACATTTGCTTACTTGTGGTGCATGACAGTCTAATATTATTGTAATGACTTTGGTCACTAGGTATAATAAGGATGTTCAGTTTCTCTTTGGGGTTCAACTTGAAAATTACTCTTTGACTTCTTTGAATCTTGGCAATTAATGGAATCCCTATTTGGGCAGCTATCAGTTTTAAAACCAAATCTGATTTTGAATAGCCTCTAATAATATTGGAGCAATTCAATTCAATTGCTAAAAAACTTTTACAGAATTTGAAAATCAGTGAAAAAGATGGCTTCATAATAGTTTAGTCAGCTAAAGCATTTGCTATTCAGTGCATTTGGTCCAAATGCTATTGGTGCTTCTGAGGTTCAACAGTGGCTGGAAGATTAATTTTTGCATTTCATATTTTATGGATTGTTAGCTGTCTTGAATGCTCAGATTAAATAAAAATGCAAGGTAGACATCAAATAAATGGAACTATATTTCAGAACTCAAACAATAACTACTTATTTAGCTGCCAACAGAAATTATGTCACATATATCATATTTACCTTGTCAGGTCTCAAGCATCGGAGAATAATCATTTTCTTTATTTCATTCAAGTCTGTATTCCATGGTTTGGGTAAGGCAACAGTCTGGGGTTCTTTACTGTCATAAATGTTACGCCATTCATGGGTTTGTGAAGCTACATGATTCCTGCAACAATAAAATAAAATGGAAAGATTTAGATTTCACCTTTATACAAGTATAAAAACTCTTCTAGATGTTCTTCTAGAGTAAGAGTGGTGAAGCCCAGTTCATTTGGTAAGCAATGGCATAATTTCTTCTAAGTTTATTTTGGGAATAATATAATTTAAAATCTCTCTGCCACCATGCTTCCAAAATGATCATGTTCTTCCACTGGCACTTTATTTTCTCATTGGTTTTTTTCCTGGTAGTTAGTATCACTGGCACTGGAGAGGGGTTATTATATTCTGTTTCTCACTTTCTGAGTGGACTAGTTACTGCAGTGTTGTCCAAACTTGGCCACTTTAAGATGAGTGGCTGGCCGGGGAATTTTGGGAGGTGAAGTCCACCCATCTTAAAGTGGCCAAGTTTGGACAACACTGAGTTACTGTATTTAACAGCAACATTCTGTGAACAGATAATATGGGATGTAAGTTAGTAATGTTTACAGAGCTTCATGCTTATTCACAGAATGGTAATTTTCTCAGAAAGCCCCCGAGGCTCCCTTCTCTTTGATCCTCACTTGTGTCCTTTTCTTTGACTTTTTATTCCCTCATCTGCCTCTCTCCAATTTCTCATAGCTTTCTGCCCCTCCTCTTCCAGAAAGTGTCCAGTTAACTCTACACGCATTCTCCTAATGCAGCAATTTGGTGTTTCTTCACAAAAAGGGTGGGCAATCTGTGGTCCTGCACACTGCATGAAGACCTCAAATCCATTTTTCATGAAATAAAGCCTTAAATAAGTGTGTGGAGTCTTTGCTAGGCTTCATGTACCCCTACATCCTCCCCCCAAAAGACCCCAAAAATGTATTAGCCGTACCTGTGACAACACTATATCATCGCCACTACTTTGCAACCCTCAAAGAGTTTAAAGAAAAAATCGGCCAGTGACTGAATCAAGTTGCCTACCCCTATTATAAAACACATTGATTTGTCACTACAGACACTTCCCAGCCATCAATGGTTCCATTCCCTGGGCTAAGAAATGCAAGTCCTACATACATAGGATTTTTACTGGAAAATAAACCATGAGCTGCATAGGTTCCAGAACTCTAAGTGCAGCTCATATCCAGAAGCCTATTATTGCTAGTCCAGATAAACTAGCAGAGATGTACAGCTATCTTCATTCGAAACAGCAGCCACCTCAAAGACTTATTCTAAGAAATATCCTTTCTTTGAAGTAGTTCCTCCTGCCATACTTACTGAATCTATGGCAACTGAAAGACCAAAATGAAGTAACAGAGTCAACACACAGGAGCAGCAATCAACATGCAAAATCATTAGCAGTGACTGAAAAGCTAGGGATAACAAAACACAGATAATTTTGACTTTGCTACTAGGTTTGCAACTGCTGTAATTATGCATGTTTAGTTTAAAAGTAATAACATTTATTATGCATAATGTAAACCCAATAATTAGATTATTTCTTAACAAGGCTATTGAAAGACTAAATAAAACCATCTATATGTATTCTCTAGGAATTGCATACAAAAGCATTCTTATGTTACAAATTTACTGATGAAATGAAACATGCAAATGGAAAATCTCCTGTTCTCTCATTCCAAATCAGATAAATTTAGCATCAGACCCCTACTTGATACCCTTTCTTTTTACCATTTGCTTTTTTCTTGTTGAACGAGGGAGGAGGATTTCAGAATTGCATCATAAGGAAAGACCCCAATATTATTGCTGAATCTCAGGCTGAATGCCTGAAGCAACCATGTAGGACCTCAACCCATTTTCCCTTCTTTCCCTTCCTTCTATATCAGAAAACATTTATCCCAAAGAAAACAATTTGATTATAAAAGAGTTGCTATTGTACCGTAATCCTTTAAAAGCAGGCATATCACTTGCACGACATATTTCATCCCAGCTTTTATCTTGTAACCAAGATGGATCAGGGTTCTTGAATTTACTCTTGAGACCAACCCCTCCAGTTAATAAAAACATAAATTCTTGAAGTTCAATTTCTTTCCTAGCCCTGTTTTAAAAAAGCAATAACCAAGTACAATTTAAGTAACACACCATTATTTTAGTTTAAAATGCAATTGAGACTTTAAAAAATCCTTATTTGTATAATATCTATTTATAGTCTAGGAATTACTAAGTATATATTTATTTATTTTTCAAATTTATATATGCCTCCCATCTCACTGTACAAATGACTCTAGGCAGTGTTACAAGTAAAAAACTATAAAATCTTAGAAAAATATACAAAAACTACAAAACTACTAAAATTAAAACTAAAAGTTAAAACTACAGTACAAACTAAAACTAAAAAGGCGGAAAGAGCATCCTCAAGCTACCAGCCACCCCCAGTGGCAGAATTCACTAATCAACCACCCCAAGTATGCCAGAATTCACTAGCTACAATTGTCACTAAAATTCACTACCATTATCTTAAGTGACTAGTGATCCTTTCACAATGGAGGTTTCATGGAAAATATATCCAAACACTGTGTTGGAGTCCTCTACGTGGCAAGACTAACTTGTGCAAGCACTGCAAGACACACTCATGCTGGGGTGTTTATAGGATTTGAGTGGGATCCTGTAATAATAGCAGTGGGCTGGAAAACCCAAGAATCCCAGCAAAGATTCCTATGAGATAAACTGATGAGGCAACTTTGAAAGGCTAGATGAACTAAAAGGGATGCAAAGTAGAACAGAAATAAATAGAAAATATTTGGAGAAATGATATATCTCATAAAATATTTAATGAGACTGAATTACTAAACTATAGCTCAATTTAATCCCAATTTAATTTGCTCTGGTGTGCAGATGCATTTTAACAGCTTCTTCTCATCAGTGATTTGCAAATGCAAACATGCAACTACTTGAAAGCTGAAATTCTCCTAATTTTTAAGATGCTCCAAGATAAATAATCAACATTCTCTTAATATATTAAAGGATTCTAAAGGACAGAGCCTCTTACATCAGAAGATTACAGCAGAGCAAAAATGAAAACAGCAACTTATCCTTCTCAAACAGGGAACGACAAACATTGCAGTACAAGTTGTATGTGAAATGGTCATTTAGATATCGTAGCCTTTTTTCCAAAATTTTAGATTTGTTGCTATTAAAAAAGAAACACATATTTAGAAAGTGCATACCCAATAAAGAAAATATTGATATATGCATCCATATATTGATTTAATTGTAACATACTGCAGTATCTACAACATATGCACCTGAGTAGGCATACCTAATTATAAAATAAAAGGAAAACAGAAAAATAGGGAGAAAAGATTCTTGATTTTTTAACAACTTCTATTGTTAAATAGGGGCTATTAAATATTTATTTACAACTTGAAATGTTTACAAACTAACAAACAGAGAAACTACTATTTTCAGAAAAAAATTGCACTTGCAAGAATAAATAGGTTTAAAACAGGAATATTTTGAAAAATTAAATACTACAATTAAGTAAATTAAATACACAATTACTGCTCACCTGTCATGAATAGAGTTGATGTAAAGGTTTACAAACCAACTGAGAGAATACTGGTACATTGGGTCTATATTAGCCAGATCAGCAATACTAAAGAACAATACAGATGAATGCTTTGCAATGGGCCTGTAACCTTCTCGAGACTGTGCTATTTTAATTTCAGTTTTTTCTGCAATCTGAAGAAAATATATTCCTTAGTTATTAGAATAATGTCTAAGCATAGTATAGAGCATTTTTTTACTACAGTGTTCCTTGCATTATACAAATACATTGACTGGTGCCCTGTTTATTAGCTGGTGGAACAAGTCCTATGATCAGATTTGTGTGTTTGTATAAAACATGACTATACACAGAATCAGAAATAAGAGCAAGCTGAGAACTTTCTGGTAATGCTGCAAATGTTCTAGACTATTTTATAATAGCATATTTGTAAAGCAGACTACATCAGTATCTTTTGAGGTTTAAGCATAAGTGTCAAAGAGGTAGTTCAAAGATAAAAAGCAGTTCAACAAAAGAGGAACACTCCTTAAATAGAGATGGACAACCACTTGGATGCTCTTTTCAGATAGACTCTAGGGATCAGAAAATTATTGCTGTAAGGGCTTCTAATTTGGAAGGGGTGGCAGTGACAAGAGATTCAGAAAAATGCATTCTTTTTCATCCTTCCACCCTTTCCTTCCTTCCATCATCTAAGTTAATAACATGAGAGCGCACTGCAAATCTTTAGAAGAATAACCGTTCCCATACAATTCTCCACATTCAGACACCCTATTAGTTGAAATGCTGCCATTGGCACTGAGGGTTTAGTTCAATAACTAGGGAGAGTAAAGAGACACATGTGGAAGGAAACTGGAAGTATTTGATCCATGTTAAACATTTGAGATTTTTAAAGGCTGACTCTCCTTGCATGTTGAACTTTATAAGCCACTTAAGTTTGATTCCAAGTTTAGGCATGGAAAATTTTACCAGCTTATATAATTTAAAATAATGTTGGTATGCCACAAGATACTTCCCTTAATTATTGCACATAGAGTGATAACTGAAATATCCTAAGCAAGGGACACAGTGACCCAAAGATGAGTGACCCAAAGATTACCCAAAGAGAGGGCAAAAATAACTGAAGAAAGGACAGCACTCTCTCCCTGACATACATTTCTTTTCCATACATACTCAACTTTCTTATTTTGTCCTACCTACCACCCCCTTATCTCCTACACACACACACACACACACACACACACACACACACACACACAGTGGTTTTGGCCACCAAGAAAAAGGAGAGAGCCTTGGAAGCTTGCCCAGGTGTCAGCCATTTCTTTAGCCCTACCCACTTTCTTCCCACCAGGCCATTCTTCCTCACTGCTATGCAGGCTCCTTGGAGACCAGCTAAGTCATATTTTGCTTACATCTATTCTTACTGTCCTCCATGAGATATCAAGAGACTAATTACCATATCTGAGTTGCAGAAACTCTTGGGAATCATTTACTGGTCATCTGGTTTTGCAGCCCAGATATGGTAGCCCTATGGGAGAGGACAGAGAAATAGAGCAGTTTTAAAAAGTAGGCAAAAAATGAGTCTGCCAGAGGGTGCAGGTGAACAAAGGGCAAACTTTTAAAAATCTGCCATAATTTTAGATGTCTGGCCACCTTAATTGCACACAGAATGGTGCCGCTATTACAGCATTGCTGTGCACCACCATAGCTATGTCCACCTTTGGGATCAATGCATTAATCATTATATGTAGCTATTACTTGCAAAATCTGAAGTTGCTTACCTGCTGCTTCTTTGTAATTTCATTAGACATTATTTTTGCCGAGTCCAAGATAGTAATTGCACTTTCATCTTCTAAAATATTACCTTCAGAAGACTGTAATGTTTCTAAAATTTTATTTTCTATATCTTTTAGTTGTTTCTTATTGGCAGCTGACTGAAGGATAAGAGCATTTCGTTCCTCCTCTAATTCTGGCCTAAAAAGACAAATACCCATTCATTTTTGTTTTGTTTTGTTCCTTTAATGTCAATGCTTTGTTGGACACCATTATGTTTAAATATTTATTTTAAAAAATTATACAGTGAAAAATATTTTCTTTTGACATTCATTTTTGGATTAAATGATTCTATAAAACTATTAGTAGACTCATGCATGTTCTTTCATATCCTATTTAATGTTATCAAGCTATCACAGCTAATGCTGGATCCATACTGGCATAAGGTCAATTGCAAGGGTGACATATTTTATCACAGCTTCAATGCCTTGTAGTCCTGCTTCCTCCTGTAATTAAATCACCTTACTATTCCAAATATAGTACGCTGGCAAAGATTTCTTCTACTACTTGGTTCTGATTATTGTACAAGGAAGAACCCACCATTCAGCCCACAAGCTGCTACCCATTTCCCTTATTTTTTAATTTAAAAATTAATTAAGTTTGGTTTCTCTCTGAAAAGCCTGAACCTATTACCTAATTACCTATGCATGTGTATATGTATGTGTGCATGTTCAGTAATTGGTTCCTTGAATTAGAATGAAATTGAATTTTATTTATGAATTAAACCTTCTGAGAAGAAACCAAATACTTACCTTTCCTTGGCAACAACAATGCCTAAAAGTTGATCTTCTAGTCCTTCTGGAGTAATCATGAAATTGAGCAAAGAAACCTTTGTAGCTAATTCAGGTAAATAATGTGGATTCCTTAATTTGGTGGTAATATAAAATTTGAAATCAAAAGAATATTCAATTGTTGTTTCACCAAGTCGAATGCAATCCATGCCCCCTAGTGTTAAAGAAACAAAAATATTTGTTCTACACAACAATAGCCTTTAATTGGCAGCATATTTAGCAGTCTAGTAGTGAAAAATAAATGTAGTTAAACAGATTATGACTGCATTCAGATATCATGTTTAATGTTAGTTTGGGATATCCTTGGATTCACCTAACACCCTTTCTCTCCTGCACAACTTGTTTTAAAATAGCATTTTAAAATTTTAAAAAATAGAATAGTATTGAAGTCCTGAGGATGCTAATAGAAGTGACCATGGAAATCCCAAATGAAGTCTGATCTGTGCTTCTTCAGGTCAGCAGAATTTTACAAACCAAAAGTTAATAATAAATTCTTATTGGTTTATTTTTCTTTTACTCCATGATTTTATTCTTTAGGCCTGCAAATCCCACACTATGCGCCATGGGTCCCAGGGCACCATAATGTACAGTTTGGAAACTGCTAGGAGCATTGTGAATCAAGGAAGTTTGGGAACCTCTGCATTAGGCTTGTCACTTACATCACTTACCTTGATGTGCTTTTGTTGTTACATTTTGATCAAGTATGTCCTCTCCTGCTTCTGTGACAATCTTGTACCTCACGACGATCCCTGGCACATCTTTACCTTGTCTTATCTCCATCCACATAAAATAAACCTTTGTATTTCTTCAGATTTCTCTTGCTAACACTTTTGGCCCCTTCCTGAACTTAATCTAACAGTTTATAAATTAGCTTCCACTCACACCATGGAAATATCTTTCTTGCAACCCTCATGTTTTCAAATGTTGGGGACCATTAAGGGTGGAAATTTGATTCATCAGAGGGGTCTGTTGATGTTGCTTTGAATATAACTCCAACTTTTTATTTTTCTTTTTGCCTTATTAATGCCCCCTTCACTGCTTTTTGAATAATATTGAAACCTAGCATAGAAACTTATTGGTTTCATCTCTTTAGCTCGCATGCATACAATTACTTTGAAAGCTATGCCTACATACAGGGGAGAAAAAGCATCCTGAACTATTCTGATTGAACTGATTCAGTGCTAGAGAAAAGTCTGCTCTTCTGCCTTTTTTGGAACCAGCAGAGTGTATGCTTACTATGGGTTAGCCCGTAATTTCATACCTTTTTAGCACAGGCTTTGCAGTAACCTGACACAAAAGCTGAACAAATTGAAGTAACAACACAAGCTGAATAGAAGGGAGGAATTCTAAATGCACCTGTCAAAATCCTGAATGTCTACTTTTGCTTTTCCAACACCCTTTGTCTTTGTGTTGGAAAAGCAAAAGCAACAAGACAGAAAACAATGTTAAGTATTAATCAATATTATACATGCAGCACAATACTAAAATAAGAGCAGGTTAAGCTTCTTGGATTTAAATTTGCAATGCATGGAAATTTGGTTACAAAATAAAATACTAACAGCACTAAAAATATTTTTGCATTACCTTCATCTGTTACTAGGCAGCAATATTTAAGGAATAAAAAGAAACACATTAAAAGATGTAATGGACTATTGTGTTAAAAAAAATAGCAAATATTCTTCTTGAACTTTAATAAATAATAGCCTTTATTATTTCTTGTACCTTGTTTAAAAGTTTGCCTAAGTAGCAAGGGTTCCAAGGAAGGATCTATCTCTTCTCCAACATTTTCAAGCAGAAGAGGAGTTCCAAACTGAATGCAATTTTCTAGAGTTCTCATGTAGTCTGAATCGGAAAATTTTATGACACTCAGTCTGTTCTCTTTCTCAGAATGTTTTATCCATTTATTTGCTTGACCCTGGGGATCAATCATTAATGGCCTACAAAATGGCATCAAATTGTTATTAAAAGACAAATGTTTAATAATCAATCATTTGTCATAGGAACTGACTTTGAAAATTGATAGAACGGTGCCAATAACAGTCAATGAAATACACCAGATAGGGGATTCTGATATTACTGAATCAATAATCAAGTATTATGCATTTATAAACTACTTAAATAATCTTAAATCTAAATTAGTGTTGCAGCTGCTAAATTAATGTAAAAATAATAATATTGAACACAAATCCTACACAGATGAAGAGAGACAATTTCCAAGACTGTGCATTTCTTTGTACGTAGAAAGTATTTGAATCCAATTCCCAAGAATTTCATTTATAGGTTCACATTTCCAATTATGTTGTTTAATCAGACATCTGAACCAATACCATCAAAGGACTTCTTCAAAAGAGTGGATTTATTTATCAGTAACAGAACATAGTTGAGAGTTTAAACAAGAAAATAATGATAGACTTAGATAGGAAAATATTAGGGGTCAAATCAAATTGTGCACACTAGCTCCAGGTGTGGATTAAATATTCATCCCACTGTTACTGGGAAATTACTCTGGCAGCACAAAGTAACATAAATGTCCAAGCTGTGAGAAAGAATACGAGAATTCATTGTAACTTGATCCAAGTTCAACTAGTATAAAAGGGGATAGATCCTTCCCAAAATGGAATCAGGTTATGCCAGGCACTAACTAGTCAATTTGAATTTCTCTCTCCAAAAACTGGCAAACACAGTATTTATTTTGTGAAATCTATTTTTTCCCAAGCAGTTAACAGAAAATCAAGATCTTCTCACTGTATGAAAATCCAGGGCCTTCTCCAATGAATTTCTCTGGTAAGGTTTTCTTAAAGATTCAGATTTCCAAATTATGACTGCTTAAGTCTACTTTAAAAGCAACTGGTCATTTTTAGTGCTTCTTTCTGATGCTTCAATAAACATCTGAATCATTAACTTTTTTGCCTAGACTAAAGTTAGTCTAACTTATGTATTATACTCCTGTTTTGATACAGATAAAAGGAAGTCCTGAAAAGGGGCTTATGTGTATGTCAAATATTTGAATTTCTGCAAATGCAGGCAATAGATGCCCAGAGTCATGTGTCGAGTGGGCAGCCTTATACATTTTAATAATAAATAAATAAACAAGCATATTATCACGTAAGTAGTGGGCAGTAATTATTTCTAAGAGGTGTTTGTCCTATTTTGCTGAATTCGAGATGCAAATGCATACTAGTTTGTCACAATATGCATATTTTGTAATGTATACACCTTTGATATTTCCCAACATTTAAAATTCTAATTTATAATTCTAATTTATGGATATAAGTCATTGTAACTCCCTAAATGATCATTTGTCTATAGTACAGAGCTTATATTTGATTAATGTTTAATGATGTGTTTGGGGGACTATGTTTTACTTGACCATACTGTATGTAAATATCTCTCATCTATTTTTTCAAATTCAAATTCTTTATTACAGGTCAGAGACCCAGACTTAGTTTATTTTTATATAAAATATTCTTCTGCTTTGCTTATTGTAATGTATGAACCATGTTTGGGGATTTTCATCCTGTCATCTAATATATTTTCAAATATCTCTTTTAGGGTACTTTAGAAATATGCATAACGTATAGTTTAAGTTTAAAAAGTTAAGAAAGGCCCTTTACCTCACAAAACATTTCCTTCTTCCCATTTCTGTTGATTCCCTCTCTTAGTAAATTCTATCTGTATCACATCCACTGCTAGAATAATCCCATAATTTTGAGGTTTGGCATCTATGTATGAAGACATTTATCCATATCATACTACCAGACTACCATTAGTACTACTACTCATGCTCTTCCAAAGGTCTCCAGGAGTCTCCAGATCACTGTTTTAGGAGGCTGAAAGCAGAGGGGGGATTTGCTAGAAATTGCTTTGTCCTGTTTTATCACAGGAATGAAAAGCCTTCCATGGGCAGGTTTTAGCCTTCAATTTACAGAAAATTAATATTTGACTCTAACCATAATACAACTGCTGTTGTATTTCTTTTTTACTTATTTTCACTTCCTTCCTGTTATAATTTGACCCCTCTTCATTTTTTTCTGCTTACATTTTTGTTTCTTTGGGCTACTGCATTTACCCTTCTGCTTCATAAAATGATATGTGATGCAGTTTAATTCTTACTTCATCCACAAAGCCTTGAATCATTGTAATTAGTTTTACTATTCCAGCTATCAACAACTGTCTCCTAATTTTATTCACTTAGTTTGACTGAACAAACAAAATTAGTTAAAACCATGCCTAGCCTTTCTCTTTTCTCATTCTTCTTATTGAGGTCGGATTGCTGATAAATAAATTTTTTTTAAAAAATTAAGAAATTCAGCTCTTTCCTCCCTCCCTGAAATCCTTCAGTTTTGTTAGAAAGTTTTAAGGTTTTTTCCATTATCAGGCACTCACTCTTGAAGTCTTCCTTGTTCCATGTTAGCATATGGCTTGTTCACACACTTCGTTTATTCATTATAGTGGAATAAAATTTTACTTTACTTAGCACTACAGTATTACCTCAATTACTTTTTGTATATGTATGTGTGCTTTCAAGTCAGTCTTGACTCCTGGCAACTGCTTGGTCGAGTCCCTGCAGTTTTCAAAGGTGGTTTGCCATTGCCTTCAACTCAGAGAGAGTGACTTGCCCAAAGTGACCTAGCTGGCTTCATACCTAAGGGATGATTAGAACACACAGTGTCCCAATTTCTAGCCTAGTGCCTTATCCACTACACCAAACTGGCTCTCATTTATCAATTTACATCCAGGAAAAAAATCAGGCTACTCCCTATCCTCAAGGAGTAGTTAAAGTTGTATGTACATATGTGTGTGTTTGTATGTAACTATGGATATACAGTATCTTTCTCTGCCTCCTTCAGTTGGCTTAAGAATAATTTGGTGGCCATAAAAAAATCAACAATATATATAGAACAAATATAACCAGAGATTTAAAAACTATCAATATCAATGCTTCAGTAACCTAATTTTAGATTAATTAGCAAAATAATAACTTCCAGTTACCTACCAACGTCTAGAATTGTCAACAATCACACCATTATCTATGGAAAATTGATCTGTTGGAAGACCTGCAATATTCCAGGCTCTAATTTTTATTGGATCACCAAGGGTCTTACTTAGAGAGAAGTTTTCAGAACAAGGAATGTTTTTCACCTGTAGGCACAGATAAAGCTTGTATCTATATATTCATTATTATTAAACATGTGTACATATAGTATTAAAATAGTTCATGTTGCATTTAATCTCACTTTTGAGTAAGACAGTCAAGAGAAATTAAATAGGAAAGGTTAATAGGCAATATTAATTTTGAATAGAAATTTAGCTATTGTTTCCATTATGATGTACGGTATTAAAAATCATAATGCATGTTAAAATTATCTCCTTTAATTGCAGCATGCTAATTAACAAGATATATGATCTATTTTTGACAGAGCCATTATTAGTATAAGCCTCTGTATGTTCTAGAAATAAAGCAATAAACACCACCTTGCAGAGTTTGCTCCAATCTTTAGTACATTCTTGTCGAAATCCAGCAGTAAAAGCACCAAGGTAAGCTATCACTCCTGCTGATACCAGAACATCTCCTGTCAAATTATCATAAGTGTTTTGAAGATCATCTGCAGCATGAGACCATCTAAGGGAGAGAAGGTGAGCAAATTAGCCAAAATGACATATTAGTTCACTAAGGGTTATTTTTACTCCTTGTTGTGTTAGAGTTGTTAAAATTAAATATGTGTCTAGGAAAGAACTACCAGGAATAGGACATTTTCAGTAATATTGTCTCAAGATACACTTTTCAGGGACTTATCACTTCTACACTGTGGGAGAGCTTAGTAATTTCAATTACCTTAATTTAGAAAATTAAAGAAAGTAGATGGTGCTAGCAATATTTGACTTGGGGGATATACTGTAACAATGTAAGATCAATGTAAAGAACAGATTCAGATTCAGATTCAGATGATGATTGCCAACTCCATTCAGCTATCCAAGTGGCTATCACAAACATCAGGGAAAAATGGAAGATAAAAGCCTTGGACAACAAGAACGATGTTTAATGATTGACTGCAGACTTTCATCATCAATCAAAAAGGTCAAGGAAAGGTGTCTCAATCAAGAATATCAACAATGAGGAAAGTAACAAGAAAGAAGAAATTATCTTCTTAAGATGACCAGAGAAATCAGGAAAATTTAAAGAATACTCAGAACTAATAATGAAAGAGATATAATAGAGACAAATGAGGTTAATGGAAAATGGAAAGATTATATTAAAACCCTTTACAGATAGGATTACAGAATCTCAGATTCTGTAATCTAGAAAATAAAGAGCAACCAGGAATAGACCAGCTATCAAATATGAAAAAATACCCACTGAATTGTTTAAAGCTACAGGAATAGAGGCAGCTTTAGTGCTAAGAACTGTACTTCAACAAATAACAAACATGACTATTGGCATAAGGATTGGAAAAGATTAGTGAATATACCTATACCAAACAAGGGAAATGCAATGGGATATGTAAATTAGCAAACCATTGAAGTCACTGTTCATGGAAACAACATTTTGCTTATTAGAATGTGGAACAATATAGTAATGAGTATACCAAGATGCCTGAGTATTCCTGTGAGGATTTTTTTTTTCTCAATGAAGAAGCTATTATAAGAAAAGAAATTGGAGAAACAGAGTGGTTCAGAATAAGAAAGAGACTGAGGCAAGGATTAATATTGTCTGTTTTGCTTACCTACAAATATCTTCTAAGATCAGCAGGATTGGAAGAGATGATAGCTGCAATCAAAATAACAAGGGGTTGCCTTGGAAGACATCTAGAAGCTGCAATGGATACAGACTACAGCAGCCCACTTAATGATGGAGAACTGCCAGTCTCATATAATGCCACTGCCATGGGCTCTACATTTGTTACTAATAGCTTATATATACTGTACATCTCAGAGTCTGCAAGACCACCGACTTCAGGGAGAACTAACCCAGTTCAGTGTGTTCAGCCTAGAGGATCATATTAAAATCTCCACCAATAATATCAGTGGTGAGGGAAAGAACTTTCTGGTTTTGCCTCTGTCCTATGAAACACTACTCCTGGATGGTGACCTCCCTTAATATATTTTGGCCAGCAGTCAACACAGAGTCTTCCATAGAGTGTTTGATGTCTGAAATATTTAAGAATATCTATAATGCCAGGATGTGTGTTTGGTTTGTGTGGTCTATGTTTCCTTTGCAAAAGGAATGTTATTGCTCTATGGATCTTATATGTAAATCGCTATGAGTCAGTATGGAGTATACAAACAAATAAATAATACAACTGGAACTCAAAATAAACATATTATTATGCAGATAATGCCACTTTGCTAGCTGAAATAAGGATTACAAAATTTCATTAACTAAAAATGGTAAGTGAAAAAATCCAGGTTAATTTTAAATATGTAGGATACAAAGATTATGTCAACTTAAATGCTTACTGAACTTACTGTTGATGATAAAGAAGTGAAGATGGTAGATAGGAAGGATAGCATGACAAAATTGAACAGAATAGTGAAGGATAAGGACATTTCAATGACAACAAAGAATATTTCAAACAAGATTGAGAGAACAATAAATGAATTAATCAAATATAGTCTTACTGCTGCCCTGAGGTGATGATCAACATGCAGAAACTCACGTATCTTGAGATGTGATACAAGTAAATGATAAACTAGAATAAATTATTATGCTTGGCAAGGTTGAAAAGAATAGTTAGAGAAGACAAATTGATAAGGTGGGACAGGATGAAAGACACTATTGAAATGTCCCAGGAAGGACTAGTAGTAATCATTACCAGAGACAAGTCAAGATGGTAAGCATTTCCCCACAAAATCACCCAGTCTCTTAGTTTTAAAACATATGTGTTTAATTCCTGAATACTGATTTGCTGCAGTAATAACTGCTGCTTTTGACAGCATAAGTTTTATAGTCAATTCTGTATTTAAATGTTTTTAATGTTATATTTGTTGTAAGACCCTCCCAAGTCCTGCTGTGCTGCCTCAGCGTGGGGGAGGGATATTGCACAGGAGAAGGCAATGATAAACCACTCATGTATCATTACCAAGAAACCCATATGGATAGAAAATATAAAATGGTTGATGATATAGTGCTGGATGATGGGCCCCTCAGATCAAATGGCACTCAACATGCTACTGAGGAACTGCTGAGGATCTTTTGGAGTACTAATGGTGTGCATGATGTGGCTACATTAAATCTTTGGGATGTCTAATTGCTGAAGTTGCCATACAGGATAAGAAAATCTGAAGCTGTAAAGACAGAATTAAAGTGGGAACATGGAACATAAGAAGCATGAACACAAGAAAGCTCAACACAGGGAAAGATGAAATGAAACGACTATGAACTGACATCTTAGGCATCAGGAAATGGAGATGGACCAGAAAGTTGATGAGTTTTATGATCAAGTTCAATATGAAATCAACAGAGCATGCAAGCAAGATGGGCTGCTTGTGATTGGTGAGTGGGATATCAAAGTTGGAAACATTAAATAGGAAAATATATTTGGATTGTATGGCTTAGGAAACTGAAATGAAGCAGGAGATTGACTTGTCAATTTCTGCTACTCCAATGATTTCTTCATATCTAACACTGTCTTCAAACAACCAAAATGATGCCCCTATATGTGGACATCACCAGATGGAGTATATACAAATCAGATTGACTATATTGTTACTAAAAGGAGATGGAGGAGCTCAATTACAGCATCAAAGA